AATAGGCCATAACTTGTCAAGTTATGGTTCATAACTAGATAAGTTATGGATAAACTTGTCAAGTTATGGTTCATAACCAGACAAGTTATAAATGAAAATGGTAATTTAACTTATTTATTAACTTATGTGAACTATTAACTTATTAATTTTAATTCATCTCAAATCTTAATTTTTTTTTTTTTTTTCAAGAAAGAAAAGTGGGAAAAGCAAAGAAGAAAAACTACATAGGAATTTGACAAAAACCAGGTGTCAAGATCCACTTCAGACATAAGATATTTTTTTTTCTTCTTCTTCTACGGACGACGATTCCCAATCAGGTTTCTAAGAGAGAGCAACGTCAATCGTCCAACTGGTCGGTCACAATTCCATGAACTTTGAATCCACCATACACGTGTCCACGTCAAACATGCGACGCAAATCCAGAAGAAAAGGCCAGGCACACTTAATACCGGTTTTAATTTGAATTAAAATATAATTTTATATAAAATTTTTTTATTATAATAAAAAAATAAATTAAATATGATTATCTTTTAAAATTTTGTACTATAATAAAACTTAAATTATTAACTCAGATAAAATGAACAAGATCTTATCAATTTTACTGGCCGGGCCCCACATTGGGCAGCAGAAATCCCAAGACCAAGAAAGGAAACGTGGCGTCGGTTGTATGGAGGAGTAGAAAGCTAATGGGGCCCCATGGGAACAAATGTCGTTTTCAGTTGGTCTCATTTGCAAGAGCGTACGTAGATGGGAAATGGGCGGGGCGGGCGACGCGTCGGATTGGGCCCCCATAGTTGGACATGGACTTGTGTTTGGATTGGCAGCACAGAACTACAGAACGTCCACCTCTCACTTCTATCGCTTATTCACACGTGTGCAGTCACTCTCATGGGTCCCACTACCCACGTGCCTACCAGCCTTCTTGTCAGCTCCAACTTTAACATTTTTTTTTTCTTTTGGATAGGCCAACTTCAACATTTTTTTTTTTAATTCGCCACTTGAGATTAGCTCAAATGCTTACATCTACCAGAATTTAAATCCTCATGTTTTAGACATTATGCCATATAAAAAAAAAAATATGTTCTTGAGAATTCGTCTCAAAACTTTAAATGAATATAACAAAATTAGAAAATTAATTAACGGCCCGTTCGATTCGTTAATTCGAGTTTTTAATTTGAGTTGAGATGTAATGTTGTGTGAAAACTTTTTACTGTAACAAAAAAGTTAGATGTGACTGTTTCTGAGAGCTTTTTACTATAGTAAAACTCGAATTCTAAACTCGAATTAACGAAATGAACGAGCCCTATCATTTGTCGAAATCAGAAAGAACACCGACAGCAAAATCACGAGCAAGCAAAAGAAACGACTGATTAACCCCAACCACCTTCTTGACGTACCAAACGGGCTAATGATCCTAGATTGATGCACTTGACAGACTGACCCCTTAATATGCTATTCGGGGATGGTCAAATTTTAAATGATGCAATACTTAAAAATAATGATTAAAATTCATACAGAAAATGTGAAAGTGGGAGAATTCTTAAGCGAAAATGAGAGTTAGTTAGGAGTAGCAAGGAGACTTTGTCGTTTGGCAATTGGCAATATGAGTGAACTTTGAGTCTATAACTGGCCCATTGAGAAGGACAGAACACAGTAGTCAGGTTCCAAAGTCTGGATTGATCGACTCGCAAATAATGCATCATAGAATGGAATTGGCATTTGGAAAACGACATTTTATGTTATTTTCAAGACAATTAATGTTCAATGAATTTGTTCTTCTTTTTTTTTTTTTTTTGCCCTTGAAAGCAATTACATAATCTAGAATGGGGGGAAGAAAAAAGACAAAAAAAAAAAAAAGAGGCTTGGGCTATGCTTAGAAAGTTCCTCGAAGCCATGAAAGTGAATAAGTCCAAGAATGAAAAAGATGAACTAACATTTCGAAGAAAAGAGTGTGAACTAATGGCTTACCAATTGGAGGTCAAATTCAAACAGAGCCTAGGGAATACCATTGGCCCAACATTTTGCAAGCCAAGTCTAATTAGCACTAAGTTGCTGGTGATTTTTCTTGAATATGACGTAGTTTACAATTAAAAAAAAAAAAAAAAAACGCTAGTGATTTTTCTTTTCTGTTCTTTTCTGTATTTCAAATTTGGGTTAACCAAAGTCGAAGTACCAAGTGGCCTGCAGTTCTTGGTTTAAGAAGCGTAATTCACACGACTAAAACTAGCCGATGGGCCAAATACAGTCAAGTTTTAGGGCTCGTTGGTAAGGTAAACCTGAGTGGTTTGAACTGTATACGAGGTTTTGTGGAGTTTGAACCTGTGATTTGAATATTTATTTGGATGTGTGTAAACAACGCGTTAGAACTATATGGGTTCAAATATGCAAAAACACAATAGGGGAGTGGATTCTCATTTTTAGGATTGAAGGGATTCAAATGTTCTATACGGATTTCAACCCAAATATGTTTCTTGAAGTAAGATACCGTTCATTTCGCTTATTCGAGTTTAGAATTCGAGTTTTATTACAGTAAAAAACTCTCACAAACAGTCACATTTAACTTTTTTACTACAATAAAAAGTTCATTTCAACTCGAATTAGCGAACTAAACGGACTCTAAATGAATGTTCTATTAAACCCGTGGGTTTAAACCTGTAGAACCCCTTACCAAATGAGCCTTTAGTGGTTGCGTACTTAAAACAAAAGGTGAGAAAAATTACAACAAATAGTTAATTTTTAATTTTTTTATGTAGTAAATAGCAAATTTATTTTAATTTATGGCAAATGACCATTTAAATTTAAAAGTAGTTTTTATAGTAGAGAATGAGATTGTTAACTAAAAAAAGTTAATAAATGCTACATAAATAAAAAGTTAATAAAATAAGTAAGTATTGATAATTGATATTATTTAATTTTAAATATCATGTGAGTAAATTGGTAAAGTTCTAATTTATCAAATTCGATTAGGGGTGAATTTGAATTAAGATTTTGAATGTATCAAATTTGATTAGAGTAATTTCCGATAAATCACATATTAATTAAAAGGAAAAGTATAAAATTACTCTTTTATAACATTCATATTTTTATTATTGACCTATTTAATCATAATTACCCCTTTATTAAAATAGATCAACTTAAACAAATTAAACAACTTAAATAAAAGGGAAAATACTGAACAAAAATGGCAATATTGGTTGAATTTTAAAGATAAATTCTAAAGAAAAAAATCTTAATTTTAAATTCAAAATTAAAGAGAAAGTATAACAAATAGCATATTTTAGGCATGCTATTAGAGTTTATAGCATATATTCTAATGTTCATAAATTATAGCATATTTTGAATTTCCATTCTAAATTTTCATTTTTTTTATTTGTTTCTCACTTAGCTAGTCAACATTCACAATCTCTTTCTCTCTCTTTGTCATCGACGTTGGCGTCGGTGTCGTCGTCAATGGACAATGAACAATAAATGCCATATGTACACACAAAACAATATTTAATGGTCATTGGCGTTACGTCGGGGCCGATGTTTGTATTTGTGGGTAAATATGATATTACTAGTAATGGTGCCATGGCCCGTGACTTGTGAATACTAAATTTATGAGTAATTACGGTATTTATTAGTTGCAAACGTCTGTGCTGTTGTCAGTATTTATATTTACAGGTAAATATGCTATTTACCAGTATCTGATGTCGATAGTTGGAGATCGATAAATACTATATTTTTAAATAAATATTATATTTACAAATAAATATCATACTTATCGGTCGTCGATCGCCGAGTGTTCATTGACGTTGGTAGATCTGATTATGGGGGAAAGAAAGAGGGCGGGGAGAAGAAAGAGTTTATGGGTATTATGAGGTGTTAAATAGTGTTGGGAATATAAAATATTACTTATAATATTTACTATCCATTTTTAAAAAAAAAAAATTATGACTAATTTACTAAATCCCTATTAAATATGTTATTTCACTCATTGTTCTATTAATTAACGGAATAAATTCCGCAATTAACAAAATTTAAATATTTACTAGTATCGCAAAGTCAAAACAATCAGCTATTTATTTCTATTCTTTCAAGAGAAAAGGATTATTCCCCGCCTAAATAAATAAATAGACGACTCTGTCACTCTTCACAATGACTATATTTCTCCACCTTTTTTTTTTTGTTTTTTGTTTTTTTTTGCTAAGCTTATTTCTCTACATTTGTTTAGCATGAATTTCAAATGAAATCAACTTTGCTTCTTCTACACCCCAATTGCGAATATAGCAGCTAGTTATGTTTTAAATTCATCCGAGGCACATAGGAAGGCGGCCTTTATGCTTAAGCTACATAAAGTAAAATATATTGCATTCAAGAACACGATTTAGAAGTGCGTGTTTGGAACCGTTTTTGAAGACAGTTTTCACATATTTTGAGAGAAAAAAAATGAAAATGAAAATAAAATGACGTTTATTTTAGTAAATGTTTTGAAAACAAAAACAGTGAGAATAATTTTTGTGAAAGAATTAAAAAACAGTTGAAAGTTATTTTCACTTATTCTGTTTTCATTTTTTAGTACTTATTAATAATATTATAATATATTAATTAATAAACACAATTTTATTTTTTTATTAATACTCAAAATAATCTCTTAAAAAACCAACCAAATGCAATTCATAATCGGTCCCAGAATGATTTTCAAAACAATTTCATTTTTACTTTTTATTGAAAACAAAATTATTTTAAAACCAATTCTAAACGCACCCGAAGTGTTGCATATATGAAAGAGCAACATCTTCAAATTCCAAAGATTATTCAATCTCGCATTTCATAGCTAGTTCTAAGTTCTACCTTGCGATCTTCAGTTTATTCCGATCATTTTCCTATCCCAAGAAAAAATTAAATTCGGCATAAGACTAACTTATTAATAATAATCCATGTGACAATGTAAAAGAGATTACTATATTTCTAAAAGTATTTTACCATGTCAATGAGGGACATGCTTCAGTCTTTAGGCATATGATTCATGGCATGTTTCTTTATCTAGATTTGTCGGAATATTACATTTCTGAAAAGATACATGGAATTCAGCAGCATTAAACGAAGAAACTGAAATTCTGGACAGAAGCAAAAAGTTTAAAATGTATGACCTTGTAATGGGTCAATCAGACAAGGAACAATCCAAAATTTCAAAGTTCAGAAGTTAACCTTGCTAGCAATATCAGTTCGATGAGCTTAAAGACTGTTTAATGTTCCGTAGGATGCTCCACATGAATGTGGAAACGAAGAAGAGGATGATACCAGTAATAATTGCATACTTCAGACCAAGATTTACCAGCAAATTCACCAGAAGCCCTGCCAATACAACGCCAATGAAATTGGCAGAAAAACCCGACCAGAATGGCATATCAAGGATAGCCGCTATGAAGGCTCCGGTCCACGCTCCTGTTCCAGGAAAAGGCACAGCTACAAAGAGCATCAGACCCAGCCATTGGAACTCCTCCACAGGGCCAGCCTTCGCTTTGGCATTCTTAAACAGCAAGTCAATTAATCGAGACGCAGTCTTGTTCTTCCCGGCAAGGAAAGATGCAAAGCTCTTCAAGTACAGTATAATGAATGGAACAGGGACCATATTCCTACAATTATAGCCCGTATTTGTCAATACCAAACAACCTCTTTTAAACAAACAAGCACAGGAGAGTATCAATCTTCCTTGCCATGCTAAATTCCTAATCAACAGGAACAACCTTGGACACAGCAAATAATTTAATCAAATAGCACAAGATCATTAGGTAAATTGTGGGTGATATCACTATAAGCACGCACATGCTATGATTCTAGCTATAAAACAAATAACATAGATCAAAAAGCAGATTCTAAGTTAACCAAAAGGAGAATCTTGGAGATGGGCTTCTTAAGAGGGAATGAAGAATTTCCCAGGAAGCAAACAAAGAAATGAAAACATCAATCTACCTTGCCTTACTAAGAACAACCTTTGGACACAACGCAACAGAAGGCTTTCTAAGAGCAAAGACTTCTTTTTTGGGTAGAATGGAAGGGGTTATAAGGATAGAGGATGGCGTGCATAAGATAACCTCGGGGAGGCAGTGCATCCCTATGTGACTTATAGATCGTGACATAGATTGCCCATATACCCTGTCCACTGCGTGGGACTAAATCGAAGTCAAGACCTTGTTAGGTAGAATGCAGTCTCAGAAAGCCTAAGGGCCTGTTTGTTTCGTTCATTGGAACCCATGATTCTGGTTCTGCTGCAGTATTTTTCTCTCATAAAAAAAATTTGAACAAAAAAGTTCCCATCATTGGATTTTCCCACAAAAGTTGAATTCAAAATCTAAATCACTGACTTAAACGCGTGAACCAAACAGACCATAACTTACCACAAGACTACATTTGACGAAACAGCTTAAGATAACAAGGAAAAACAGTGGGAGAGGTCACTCTAAGCACATACATGCTGTCAAACAAATACATCGAAATAACATTTATCAAAAGTCAGATTCCAAGTTAACCAAAAACAGAATCTGAGTGATAGGCTCTTAAAAGGGAATGAAAAAGAGTCACCAAAGAAACAACAAACAAACCAATGAAAACATCATTCTACCTTTTGCCTTACTTATCACAAAGAACAACCTTGAACACAACAGAACCTTGAAAACAGTCTCAAAAAAGCCCAAAACTTCAAGCATAAGACTAAATTGAACCAACTAGCATAAAATTAAATAGAATCTAACCATATAAACTCCCATTCCACGGTTATTATCACTATTAACTATAAGCACACACATACCTATCAAACAGAAAATCTAAGAACTGTGAGAAAAACATAATGATAGACCAACATTGATCAAAATAAGTTCCAAAACCTTACCCAAGAACTGACAGTACAGTGAGCACGACAGGTTTAAGTTGCATCCAGTAACCAACGGGAATGGCCCCACGAAGCTCAAGCAAAGGAAGCGTGGCGAGCGCGAACACCACGGCCTCGTCAGGCCAGCCCGAGCCCCGAAGCGCATTGGCGATTTTCAGGCCAAAGCTCGAGGCTTTGATCGAGTCCGCAGCGGCGTTCGCGTCCTTGGAAGTCGCGAACCAAAGGAGAGACAGAGACGCCCAGAACAGAACCCAGAAAGCGAATTTCACCGGCCTTTGATGATCAAACGACGCCGTAATGATGATGTCAGTGTCGTTTTCCTCGGCCGTATCGTGTAACCCACCAGAAGAAGAATATGAAGAAGAAGAAGAAGCTCTTGGGGGCTTCAAATGGGGTGAAGTTTGGAAAGTCGCGAGCGCATTTGGGTTGGGTAGCGATTTCTTAGGGAAAATAATGGTGGGAACTTTATGATTGGGTGAAATTCTCCGATGGATTTTTGAAAGAAAGAGTTTTGAGGGGAATGGAGGTTTTGTTGTTGTTAATAGTGAAGAAGCCATTGATGAAGAGAAGTGAGCTAAGTCGGAGAAAAGAATATATACGAGAATTAGCAAAATCTTCTCAGCTCCATAAAAATGGGGGCCATGTTGAGAAATTGTATGTGCATTTTTGGGTGATTGGGTTTTTGCAGAGAGGTTTATGAAAAGTGAGACTTTTCACTTAGAATCACGTTTACATTACTACAAAATGGTGTATAGTGGATAGAGTTATATATACTAGGAGGCTGGTCTTATTGCCAAGTTACTTGATTGGTAACTAGGAAATTCGGATGTTCTTTGCAAAAGAAAAAGAAAAAGAAAAATTAAGGAAATTGGATGATGATTGGTGAAGGATATTATGTAAAGGAAGATTTTCGGAAATTACCAAGGAAAAGATAAGCATAAGAGGCATCAAAAAGAGGACAAAATGAAGGATTAACCGAGGTTTTGCTTCAAAATCGGAGGCAAGGAAAAACCCTTTTGGAAATGGTGATGGGGCATAACTTTCAGTGCCAGGAAACGACTACGCTGATAAAACAATTAAAGATTATGGAGGGAAAGTTGCATAAATATATCCTCTATTGTTGAATTATTTTATAATTTATTTTTATACTTTTGGAATCTGCAAAACTACACAAATATTATTTGATTGTTTTTTCATTTCCATTCCTCTTATATTTTATTGACAAAAATTACTCTCAAGGGTATTCTTGTCTTTCTCTTCATTTTCCGACCATAAAGTGTGCCGGAGATGAGTTTGAGAAAAGATTTCTATTAAG